ATATATATATATATATATATGACAAAATTGAGGAAATTTGTGTTTAGTAAGTTACATTTTTGTTGTAACAGTGCTTCTTGACAATAAATCTGATTGGCAGTACCTGAAACCCGAAACTCAAAACAAGTGTCAATAGCAACAGCAAAACCAACTGTTTAGTAGAGATTTCGTTTATTTCCCATCTGCGTAACCCACATACTCAGCTCCACTGCTCACCCAACAAATGCATGTTCCTTACAAATGTGGCAACATTTAAAATTGAAATTAACAGGCTAAAAGTACAAGATTTATTGTCAAGAAGTGTACAACAAAAAAATATCCTTAATTTTTGTGCCATGTATATAAAAAGAAAACAAACAAAACAGGAAATATACTTTCAATTTGCTTCTTGGGTTTCAAGGTTTTATTAATTTAAATAATTTAAAAATGACAAGATATCACAGGAGTTTCAGAGGCACATTTTCAAAGTATTTTTTTCCTGCATGCATTTAGAACAAAGAAAACCTGCCAAAGAACCCTGTGATGGTTGAAAACATGGATGCTTTTAGGACCGCCATCTTTTTCCTAACTTTTTATGCTTGTTACGTTTGACATTTACCCCCAATAAGAATGGAATTGTTTAAGAATTGTTACAAAAGATTACTAAAGGGAAGCTGACCAGACTGGAAAAACAGAATCAGCTAGAAGCTGACCATATCAGACCCGGATGGAGAGCTAAAATAATAACACTTAGGAAAAAAGTTACTTTTCCAGACAATGACCTCAACTTTTTTCAACCTGTAATAGTTGAACTATAAAAGTTAAACTATTACATATATATGTGTTTTATTTCTCCCTCTGTTAAGACAGGGAAACAAATTCAACAAAAAACAAAACAGATGCTCAAATGTCAACTTTTCCCCCAATTAATCCTTCCTACATTTAGATTCTAATATAAAAAAATACAGATTACAAAAAGATTGCCACCTTTGCACAATGGCAACACTTGACTCCGAATTGTGAAACCCTGAACTTTTTGTGTAAGTGCTTCAAACAACTTGGGAGCACGATTGAAAAAAAAAAAAAAAAGGAAAAAAATATTTCCATCTTAATTTTATCTGGTTCAGATTGAAGAGGTCGGGCTGCGCAGTACACGGTACCATCACAGCAGCAAGAACGTCTGCTGATAAAAAGTTTTTTTTTAATGACAGATACGTTCCTTCTTTAGCCGTCAATCTGAACAGGACAAAAGAAAAACACAAGTAATGACATGGTTTTCAGAGTAAAAAGTATTCTCTTCAAAGAGGAGCAGATACTTTTTATAATGCAAACAGGATGAGCTAATCTGGTGGAAAAAAATAAAATAAAAAAAAGGTACAAAGTGAACAATCTGGACTCTGAGAAGAAAAGAGTCAGAAAAGGAACAAGAAAAAATCGTTGCCATCACAATTCATTATTTATATTTACACTCACGCTTGCATTCACACACAAATTTAGTCGAGGTGTTAAAGTCGCCTCAATGCGCGCTTTTTATCTGCCTTCTTTTTCCCTGCTATGTTACTGATGCTGCTACTACTGTTGCTACTGCTACTGGTTGTGCTGGTTCCGCTAGCTCCGTTACCCAGAGCCGCTGGGACGGCGGCAGCGCTGGGGCCTGCTCTCTTTGTGGGGTCACCTGCATGCTTCTTCGGCTGCGGGCCGTCATTAGGGTCCTGGGGTGCCCCGGAGAGGCCGCCCGGCCCGCCCATAGCGTGGATTTCTGTCATGAGACGGGCACGGGATTCGTATTCGGCATAATCCTCTAAAAGTAAGCGGCCGGCCTCTTCGTTCAAAGCCGATTCTGGATTTGGATGGATCAGGAGACACTTGATGGTCTTTTGGAAAGAGAAAGGAAAAAGAACAAACTTATATAAACACGCTGATGAAAGAGACTGAAGACAGACTGAGAGTTAGCCTTACAAGTAAGACGTGTCTGAGGCCGAGCTCTGCCTTCCAGTCCCTTTTCAGCACGTTGACACAGATCTCTCCCTTGTGACCCACGTTGGGGTGAAAAATCTTGGTCAGGAAATACCCCTTGGGTGGAACAGCAGGGAAGTCCTTCCCGAGGACCAGGCGCATTCGGAAAATGCCACCAGCAAATGGAGTTCCCTCTGTCAAAGTATAAAGAATTCATCAGATGACTGAGTCAAACTCACTCCGTAACAAAATAAATAAATAAATGAAACATTACAGATCTGCAAATCAGTCAGTCACAGAGCACAAAAATCTAGTATAAATCCTAATATTAGTATGAAATACATAAAGTGATAAACAGAGTGTTTTGCCAACAGAGTTGAGAAAATGTGGACAAATGTGTTCATATTTAGACCAATTAAAGAAAAACAGAACTGAATGAATGAGCACACAGTGGTAAATACATACACACCAACACCACAGACCATGGTTCAGGTGGATAACAGGCCTCATAAAACATATGATTTGTAACTTTTGTATACATTTTCAAGGTTTCATTGGAAATAATTCAACTTAAAGACCGGAAACTTAGGCTACGTTCACACTGCAGGTCCTAATGCTCAGTTCAGACTTTTTGAAAAAATCCGATCTTTTTGTGTGAACGTTCACATTACATTTTAAATGTGACCTGCATCAGACCCGTGTGTGAACGCTACACAGCACTGATGTGACACGCATGCGCAGTAAACGACGTGACGTCTCATCAGCCGGCTTGTTTGTTTACAGAGCTAGCATGGATGCTACATTTTGCACATCGAATCTGAAGTTGTTGTTTAATCAGAGCCGATTAAATAATTATCTGACCTGCTTCTTTAGTTCAGTGTTTACATCTGAACCTGCCTCTGACCGGGATGCTCCAGTGAAGCTTTTTTTTTTTTTTAACGAAACTACGAGCTGGAAAAAGTATCGACTGAGTAGCTATCTTTAGGATCGATACTGTCCGCGACCCAGGCTGGACATCGTTATTATCATACTATCTACGTGGAAAATGAAAAGTAAAAAGATGAAGCAACTGGACTTGTGTTTTGGAGCTGTAAACACATGGAGCTACAGATTTAAACAGAGAGACTTGAGGTTAGTGTCTTATCGATCCTTCACCCCCTCCTAACTGATAAAAAAGTCAGATGAATGTGACATGAGCGTTCACACTGCAGTCACTTTGAAAACATCAGATATATATCAGATTTAAAACCACATACTGAAACGGCCTGGGTCGGATTTGTCGCATTCAGACTGTCATAAAAAAATCAGATATGAGTCAGATGGGTCAAAAAAAATCGGATTTGGGTCAGATTTGCCTGCAGTGTGAACGTAGCCTTAGTTAATTGCTAAACGGGATTCCAAATAAATGACAATAGTTGTTTCTTATTTTATGACTTAACGCCATAAGGCGGTGTCAGCCGGACTCCAATGGTTACCTGGCCCTTCAATGGACGTGTGAAGTTCAGTTATGTCTTCCTCGCTGGGATAAATTTTGATGCCCTCAGGTGGGTCTGCTGCTAAAGCTGAAACTTCTTTATAGACCAGGCGCAGAACATGAGGGGGCAAGTTCTCCACATTAGAGTTCTGAGGAGAAAACAGATAAAGACAGTTTAGTACTGACAGTAGTTCAGCAGAATTACAAGAAAAAAGGACAATATTTTGAACATATGATACTTCTTTACACATTAAACACTCTGAATAATTAAACACACTATCCTGTCACTCATATGTTAATAAAGTAAGGTGGTTTTGACTCTTTTGATAGCTTTCAATTCTGTTAACTTTAGATTAGATCACCTAATAGTAAAACTAAACAAAGACAAAAATAAAGTTTTAAGTACTCGTTTAAATAAAAAAATTCATAATGCCAAGGGATTTGACAGTCTGCCTGATGCTTTAAGATGTTTAAATGTATCATCTGAAGCTATTATCATAGTCTTTATTTCATTCAAACTAATCGAACAAAATTAAATTTAGGATTAAGTTTCAAAACGTGTTCAGTTCAAGGGGTTTATTAAGTTTTACCTGGCAGCCAACATCAACGAAAATAAAACAAAACTTTGCTGTTACATTTGACACAAACACGGACGTAGTTACACTTCTTTAAAAAAAGAAAACTGTCATCAATCAGCTAAACGAGTCGACATTTAAAGTTAATTTATGCTACAACACTTAGCAACACATCCTAGCTTCGGTTGATGCCTTCGCTGTTTGTTGCTTTTAAATGACGTTATAACAGTGCTGGTCATCACAGAAATAGCTATTAAATTATTAAAATACACATTATGCCTCAGTAAACACCAGAATATCCCCCCAAAAGTCACAACCAAAACAAAAACATCTTTCAACAACTAAAGCGTCAGATCAAGCTAGCAACCGTTAGCTGTTAGCATTTAGCTCAGTCTTACCATCTTCGACAATGAGACCTAATGAGACGATAAACACCCAGAGGGAGTCAGATATAAAGACCGTTTTCCGTTTATGTCTGAGAAGAAAACAATAAATAGTAGATTAAAACTCAGAGGCGTTTCACTGGTTGTATTTTCCTTTCTTACACAGGAACAAATGTACGTTCTACAATTTAAGCTACAACCAGTGACCAATCGGTGTCGTGATGACGTGACGCGTCAGCGGCAAAACAACCAATCACAGCGCAGTATTGTTGTTGCGTTACGAGCAGAAGCCCTATCAGCCACACAGAGTCAGAAATATGGCTGATACTGATCAACTATTGGTCCCTTTGAAAAAAACTTACGCATCTGATCAATACAGGATGCGCACTATTTCAACACCAGCACATCTCGGAGGTGTTAAAGTTTGAGATTGCGTATTCATTTCATGCGTATTAATGAACAAGTGATGGTTCACATTTGTTTCTATTGCACAAATATCTTGTCAACAAATAGTAAGAAACTGAAAGTTCTCTTTTCTTTATGTTATCCTGGTCCTACAGAGTCACTATCATTCTGCAGAACCTGAAGAGGTAACAGTCTCTGAATGAGATGTGTTGAAGCAGGGAAACATGTAAAACGTGCAGGATTCTTTGCTGGCTTAGTTGGTCTGTGCATTAATAAACCTGAATAGCTTTTGTGTCCTATGTCATACAAAATAAAATTACATGTGCATCTCCTCTTGTTCAAAAAATATAAAGTAGAAAGAATAAAAAGGCACAAATAAGCTGTTTGTTTGTAAAGTTCATTATGTTCTAATTTGCTCACACCTGACTGAAAAGAACACGCGCTTCATATGTCACTATTTAAAACAAGAAACAAGTCATTCAGTAAAAAATAAATAAACAAATAATAAAAATCAGAACAAAACTTTGTACTGTGCAACAGTATCGATTTGTTGCACAGCTGTGAGGATGAAGTGCCAAGCAAACACAATCGTGTATTTCTGTTTTTTACTTTCACTGCCGAGAGTGTCGTTGTTTAATTTATCCACTAGAGGGCGCCACGTGCACAGCGTTACAGATTTCTGCGCAACGTGGAAAACATGTTTGAGCTTTGCATGTTTAACCACAATAATGTAGTTGTTTATTTATACTTATTACATTTGTAATTGTGACAGTTGGGTTTACTTAAATGGATGGTATTAAGTGTAGTGGCGTGTACGCGGACTCCGCTAAATAACAACAACAGTTCCATTTCCGGTTTCTGGAAGTAGCCATCAGTCTCCAGCATCGTTTTAGGAAATCGCTTTATCAGCAGACCTGCTGGCTTCACTTGGCTTTTGTTGGTTGAGAGCAGCTCACTTCGCCGCTGTTCGCCTCGCCGTCAACATCCGGACAGAGAGTGGAAACAGCGAGGTTGTCACGGTTACGAGTAAGCTAATGCTAGCTAACGTGAATGGGGTGGATGGCGCGCGCGCGTTTGGCTGGTTTAACGCTTCCTCTGTTTCTATTAAAGTATGAGCGAAGGAGAGGTGTTTCATGAGAAGCAACGACTGGAGCTGTGCGCCATTCATGCTCTCAACAACGTGCTCCAGGAGCGGGTGTTCACCAAGGAGACGGCCGACGACATCTGTAAACGGTACGTGGACGAGTCGATGTGACGCCGGCTGCCTGGAGGAGCAGGAAAACAATCAACTTGATAAATGTTCCCATTCAGGCTCTTTGTAACCTAGACCAGTGGTTCCCAAACTGTTTATCTTCTGACCCACAAAATATCCACGGCAAAAACTTGTGACCCCAAATATTACTGGTCTGAGTACACTAACTTTGTTAATAACCCTAAAAACACAGGCTTTTTGACAATCTAAACAGCTTGTACA